AATTCTTCTATACTCGAAGCCCAGTACTTTCCCCCAATAGAGCTTTCTCGAGATAAAAATCATGCTCTGGGACTCATCGAATTACTAACCTTTAATTTGATTCCTAATGTGGACACTGATCACAACAACTTCTACGTGGGGGATGAAGTTATCGTTATACCCATTGGTAGCTATAAGATAGAGGATATGGAAAACTATGTACAGAGTGCGTTGATAGATAAAAGTATTCTAATTCGTATTAAGCCTAACAATAATACCCTGTGCAACGAAATTAAGTGTAACCGTGACATCAATTTTCAATTTGTTGATTCGATTGGTCGCTTGTTGGGTTTTACTCAACGCGTTTTGGAAGCTAATAAATTACATACATCCGACGTACCTGTAGCAATTCTCAAGGAGAACGTCTTGCGAGTTTAATGCAACATTACTACAGGCGCTTACATAAACGAACGTAAGATACATACCATCCACGAATTCTTTCCGGTTGTACCACCAGGATATAAGATTATAGAGGTGCCGTCGCACGTCATTTACCTCCCAGTAACGAGCAAGACAATAGATCACCTATAGCTGCGAATAGTCGATCAGGACGGAGACTTGGCGAATTTTCAAGGAGAAGTCATAACGATAAGACTACACGTGAAATCCATGTGATAATGGGGATCGTGTATAACCGAAAGATTGGTAGTGGTTATAATAGCAGCTGTAATAATGAACCGATATATCTAAAAGGAATCAGTCATCGTCCGCGCTACAAAGCGTTAACACCTCAGAACGCGTTATTCCTGAGAAATCTGGGACTCAAGGTCACACCAGTCCGAAGAGGAAACTAAATCGTTCATTTTGCTGCTGCTGCATTATTTTTATCCGCTGCTTACCATGGAGGAAGAAACTTTAAATATTCGAACACCAATCACCTTCGATGAGTCTACAGCGCACTGCGAAACGTATGCACACCAGCCTTACGCATCGTGAACGTTCAACAACAGTGATGAAATACGAATCTCCGTCCAACATCAAGACCTGTGTTTACTACCGAGTAGAAGTTCGCTGCATGTATACGGAAAGCTCGTCAAGGAAGATGGTTCTACGGCGGTTAGAAACACAACCTTGGTTAATAACGGCATTAGTCATCTCTTCGATGAGATTCGTTGTGAAATGAATGGAATAGAGATCGAGCGAAATAAAAACGTTGGTCTCACAAGTCTCATGAAGGGCTACCTTTCCCCTACTCCTGGTCAACGCTCCTTTCAACGCTGGTGATGGGTAACGCTGGTTGGATGCAAGGAGAGAAATTGACTGATGCAGCTGGTTACTTTGACGTATCCATACCGCTGAGTATGATACTAGGCTTTGCCGAAGATTATCGCAAAATCGTCGTAAACGCTAAGCACGAGTTGATTCTGACGAGAGCAAAGAGCGATGTCATTGCCATTGCGCAAACTGCTCCGGAAGAATGCAAAGTTGTAATTCAAGCAAAATGAGTCGCTCAAATTTGGACCAATCGACGTTCGTCTCGAATTCGAGGCAGACCAAAATTTTCCCACCAAAACATCAGCGTTCTATTTAATTCTGCATGATCGAATAGTAGAATATAATCCAATTAGTGGTGGGGTGACAAAAATTAGTATAAAAATCCTACGATCATCTCTATGCAAGCAGTCTACCACAATGGAGTTCATCGTGGACGTACAAGGTTTCAAGAAACCCTCGGACGAGTTTGTCTTGAAGGAGCTGTCTGTGATTGGAGTGGGTAGCGATTTCTCCGTGCCTGCGACATTTCTGTTTCAACTTTCTGTTTCAACCACCGTGTTCATGGGGCTCTCTTCCGGCAAAATACAAGTACATGAATTTGTGGTTACAACGCAACTTTTATGGTATCTCTTGGAACTCCGGCGATACATCTTACAACCAAGCCAGAAATATTTTTCGAGTTATTTTACGAGATGCTACCAGAATTTATGTAAAACGATTGGAAAAGAAAAATTGGTTGGAGAATTTTATGGGGCAATCGTTAAACGATCAATTGCTTCGCATTTCAATTGTGCGATGAAAAATATTAAATCGTTAAGGACTTGGATGATGGAATGTATATTTTTTGATTAAGAATAAAGTGTATGTGAAATAAATAAAGCGGTTGTATTTTTTTTGTCACTTACGTGGCAATTTATTTATTTAAATCATAAGTATGAACGTTTACAAATATCGAAATTCCATGACGTAGAACTTCCCTCCGAGGTAACGCATAAAAAGCCGATTCTCAGAGGTATTCAAAACGATTCGTTGAAAGAAATCCTCATCGTCCGTCAGAAACCTCGAGATCCTTACTGGTAAGAATACTGAGAACTGTTTTCTACGTCAACGATGTGTCTTGCTCCAAATTTCGTTTGAATTTTTCTTATGCTGGTAATCTTGTATTCTTTTTCAACCTCAAATTCTAATAACGTTTTCGTTGGCAGGAAACCCTCCAGACGCGCCACTTTGGTAATTTTTGAAGAGTCCAGTTTTGTCACTGTATCGTAGCGGAAAGATAGAGGCGAAGAAGGCGCGGTAGGAACGGGGGGGATATGGTTGATGATGAAATGTCATCGAAATTCTTCGGTGACATACAGAGGGCCATTCTTCATCTCCACCGACTCTACACGTTAGTCTGCGGGAAGTGTAAAA